TGGGAGGCAGGGCAGGCAGAGCTCTGAGTCCCAGGCCAGCTGGGACTACACAATGAGCTCCTGTCAAAAAAAAAAAAAAAAAGGGAGGCAGGGCTACATGTGTAACCTGAGCACTGGGGGTTGGAGTGGCTGAGGTGCAAGCGCCACAGTCCTGGAGGTCACTGGCCAGCTAGTCTCAACAAATCAGTGAGCTCTGGATTCAGTAAGAGACCCTGTTTCAAAATCTAAGGTGGAAGGGCAGGTTAGATGGCTCAGTGGCTCTTACTGCTCTTGCAGAGGCCCCAGAACTAACACAGCAGTGCACAACCACCTCTAACTCCAGTTCCAGGGAATCTGATGCCTTCTTCTGGCTTCCAAGGGCTCCTACATGCATATGATGCACATAAACTCATGCATGCCCACATATGTACACATATAAACGTGAATGACTGAGGAAGACACCTGATAATTGACCTCTGGCTTCCACATGCACGCATATACATACATGGGAGACACACACACACACTCACGCATGCACACATGGTTGTTATGCACAAAACTTGTGCATAACACAAGTTAAGAACTGTTCTAATCAGCTTTTCATTACCACGACAAACATTGGAAAAAAAAAATGACAGGAACAGAACAGATTGGTGGAGGTCTCAGCTGGTCATCCAGCCATTTCTTTGGTTCCATCAATAACACCAGATGTCATGGTGGGAGCCCATGATAGGGAAGTCACTTTCCGATGGCCAGGAAGCCTGCAGGATGGCTCAGCAGGTACAAGGTGCTTGCCACAGGCTTGACTACCTAAGTTCCACCCTCAGTCAAAGGAGAACCAACCCTTGCAAATTGTCCTGACCTCCACACAGGCCACAGAACATGTGCATGTGTTTGCAGACACACATACATAGTAAATGTAAAAAAACCTGATAAGGAGGGCTGAGGTGCCAGCGTCTCCTTCAAGGGCATGGTTACAAGGACCTAAAGTCTTCCTGCCAGGCCTAACCTCTTAAAAGTTCTACCAACTCCTAACAGCTTGGTAAACAAGCCTTCTACTAGGCCGCTGGCACATGCTTCAGATGCAAACTACAGCAGCGTTAGGCGCTATGAAAATGAGGGTGATTCTTATCTTTGTAAAACTTGCATACGGGGATTTATCATATCCAACATCTTTTTTTTTTTGGTCTTTTTGAGACAGGGTCTCCCTGTAGCCCCAGCTGACCTGAACTCACTATGTAGACCAGGCTGGCCTTGAACTCACAGAGATCCACCTGCCTCTGCCTCCCAAGTGCTGGGATTAAAGGTATGTGCCACCATGCCAGGCCCAACATCTTTTTAAACAGTGTTTTGCTATGCTGTGCTGGCTAGCTGAGAATTCCCAGGTTCAAGAGATTCTCCTGAGTATCTAGGGCCACAGTAGGTATGCACCACTGGGCCCAGCCACAAAAATCAACTTTTAATTCCATTAGACATTCAATTCCATGTAGGCCACCCATGTTTCCAAGACCCCTTAGCCACTGAGGTCAAGTCCAGCCTGGACTTAAATAGCCACCCAGGGCTACATATGAAGACCCAGCCTCAGAAAACCCCAAACTAAGATGTTAGAGATATTTGGAGATTTACAGTTCCTCTAAAAGTTGGGCATGGTAGCACATGCCTGTAATCGCAGCATTTGGGAGGCTGAGGCAAGACTGCTAACTTTCAGGACAGCTGGAGCTACAATAGTAACCCTGTCTCCACACCCCCTTCCCTGTAGGGAGCAAGCACTAGTAGACATGCCTGGCTGATATGCTAATGAGCCATAGGTACTAGAGGGTGGTCAGAGACAGCAGAGGCGAAGGAACCTTGCCCATGGGGTAAGTGTCCAGGAACACATCTGTGCACTCCTGTGAGTCTGTCTTCCCTTGGATTTTAGACTTTTTCTGGGTGCTTATCAGAGCCACTCTGGGGTTGGCTCGTTAGTGTTATCAGAGACTGGCATATTTACCAGTGCCAGGTTCCTTAGACACCCTTCCAAGGAAGTTGAAATTCTTACCCTGAGCTAAGTGTGGTGGGCACACTGGCAGTCCCAACAGTTAGGGATGCTAAGGCCCAAGGCTCATGGCCTGTCACAACAAGCAAAGCACAGCATTAAATACTCCTATCTATGTTGGGTGAGTGAACATGTGTTGGGTCACCATTTTTGTTTTGTCCATTAAACTATTAGCTTACTAAAGGGACAAAGCTTACTGAAGATCCTGAGGCTGGACACAGACAGGACCACAGAGGTCTGAGTATAGCACCAACCACTGCGTCTAGTCCAGGCCATGTCAGACTTATCACCTGATGCCTAGGGAGGGTCACTCCTTCTGAGTCCCAGGTTTGATGCACCTTTTACTTACAACTCAAGGCTCATCTACAGTGGCACCTATGAGCTACTTCTAAGAACCACAAGCAGAGTTGGCACTGTGAGGAACCTGGTTAGAGCTCAGATCCCCACTCACCACCTCCCTGCTCAAGAGATAGCTATTTCAGCTGGGCGTGGTGGTGCACACCTTCAATCCCAGCACTTGGGAAGCAGAGGCAGGCAGATCTATGAGTTCAAGGCCAGCCTGGTCTACAGAGAGACCCCATCTCAAAAAAAAAAAGCCCCCAAAGACCAGCACTGGCCACAGGAGTCACACACTTCTGCTTTCTCGCAGGGACCCCACAGGTCTTCTTGGGATCCTGAAGGGCATAGGCAGCTGCCAACCAAACACAAGCAGCTCAAGGTCTGAGCCAGGAGACCTTGCAGGAGATCGCAAAGCACTGAGTCTTATTTCAAACAGTCTGGAAAGAACAGTGCTGGCCAGTCTCTCCCCTCCATCTACAGGTGGGGACCCCTAGGGTCTCCCTGGTTGCCATCTATTGCAAAGTAAACAGAAGAGGGCCCCCTCTTCTTTCCTCAACAATGCCCCAGCTTGGATCAGAAACTAAAAGCTCCTTTGTGAAATGAGGCTGTCTTTACTTCAGTACAGGAGGGAAGGCTTACTGCAATTCCAAGGTGTAGCCCAGCTGTCCCTGACACAGGAAGTTGGGACTGGCTCTGCCATACTACTTATAAATGACCAGCCCTGTCTCCCCAAGCTACTGGTCTCTGCCTTGTGATCGACACCCATGTCCCCTGTGCCCATGGCAAACATCAGGCCTTGTTCCCTTGATGTCATCCTCTGTATCTCATCATCTTCAGCCCTCCCTTAGCCATACAATACTCCATGTGCCAACAAGCTATCCTTTTCAAAGCAGCACTCTTGTGAAAGGTGGCCAGTGTCTCTGCCCAGGTTTCCATGCCCACCATGGACTGAGGCAGTGATGTCACTTTCAGCCTGCTCCTTCCTGGGACTTATTTTCTCTCCAATGCCCACACCCACCCAACCAAGGCCATACCTCTGAATGCTTTGCTCCCACACCACCCTTCCCAGGATGCCTAAGGTCCCTGAATATTGCTTATGGGCACCACCCTGCCAGTCAGTTCTGAAATGCACATCAGGTACTTCTTGAAGTGATTAAGCAGCAGGCTGTGACTGGCAGTCTGTTCTTGGGGACCAGCCAAGGACCCATCCTCAACAACAGCCCAAGTCCTACCACATGAACCAGCTTTTGCCTCTCACTGCTAGTGAGGAGAGGCAAAAGGCCTCACTTGGTAAACCTTTACTGCCTGCTGGACAGAGCTTCTGAGAAGACCAAGACTGGCCACTCTTCATCTACCTGGCACCGCAAAACTTCCCAGATGGCTGCCAATGACCTGAACTACCTAGCCACTATTATAGACGGGGTAATTGGTAAAATGCTTGCTGCACAGGATGACTTTAATCCTCAACTATGTAACAAACTGGGTGTGGTAGCACACCTGTAATCCCAGTATTGGGGAGGTCTAAGCAGGAGGATGCTAGCAGGCCAGCCCCAGGTCCTAGAAGACTTGCCTTAGATAAAACACAAGATGGCAGTTCTTGGAACCCGAGGTTCTATGTCCTCCACTCACATGCACTTGCACTAACACAAAACTGAATTAAATGACTCATGGGTCCTGTTTAAACACTGGAGACTGTACTTGCAGCAGAGGCTTCAGCAACCCTGAGAATTCCTTCTGAGGCTTGTCACTGTACTCACCCACACTTGCCCTCCGGGTGACCCAGCATTTAGACACCAAGGCTCCACACCTCAAAATGCTACCACCAACCCAGCTGCGTGGTCCAAGGCTCTCTTTACCCCACCCCTCTTGAATGGATCCTGCTGCCCCTATTTTACCAAAAATAGCCAACTGTCTCCAGAGCCAACGAGCCAAGGACAGAAATATCCAAAATGAAAACTACCCACGTGCTGGACACACATGAACCTTGTCTATTTCCTAAGCAAAATACAATGAGGACTATTTACACAGCATTTGCCTTACATGAGACATAAGTAACATAACGGTGATCAAAAGCCTGAGAGTTGGGCATGATAATCCCTGTACTGAGACAGGACTGCCACAAGTTCAAGCCCTTGTCACAGTGCTCTCCTTCCCGCAATGAACCTGGGCACAGGTTCTAAGCAGACACTATACCACTTTACATACTTAAGCACCCTTACGTTTGGTCCTGGAACTAACATCCAAGGACACTGAGACTGTAGCGAATTAAGCACCTAGACCTCGCTCCCTGATGTAAGAAGACGGGAGAGCACGAAGGAACCACAGCACAGCTCAGCATGGAAACCAGACTTCTCTAACAAAGCAGACAAGACACCAGAATGTGCAGGTCCTGTCTCCAGACACACAGCATGGCTGCCTCCACCTTCTTTCATATCCCACTGTGGCAAAATGAGCAGGCAGCTCCACGCAGAGGACCACTGTGGCTCTACAGCCCCCACCCCAAGTCAGACTGAGGCCCCATCAGAAACAGCAGGGAAGGAGTCAGGAGTCAACCATGGCCTCCTAGGTACTCACACCAGGTGCAACAGCCAGACATCCAGCTGTGGCCTGGGAGACTCCAACAGTGGGATGGACCAGACAGCTGCAGTTCTACACACATTTCTATTTTATTATGGCAAAGGTGAAAATGCCACCTTCTCCACAACAGCAACCAGTAAAATTTATCCCAAAAATAACTCAGTACAAAACAGGTCTGTTTCGGATTAAAAAAAAAAAAGAAAAAGAAAAAAACCTTTACATGAGTTTTTAGATCCTATTTTAAAACAGAAAGAACAAATCCACCATTGGCTGCACAGTCCAGTTGTCAACCCCTCCCTCCAGGGATCACGGACGAGGCTTCTGGGTCCTGCTGCACGTGAGGATTTGCTGGCTGTTTAACTGGTGTCCATCTGAAACAGAGAGGTGGTTCATTCAGAAGGCCCTGTCTCACCTGGCTTTGGTTTGCTCCCACAGGCCCAGCCCTACCGAGGCTTCATTGGCCCCAGGACTCACCCTTGCATTGTAAGCGTCCAGCTGGGCATCTAGCTCTTCCGCAGAAAGCTGCTGCTTTGCGTTCCTGCCGGTGCCTCTTCCTCTTCCCCGGCTACCTCCACGGGTCCCTCTCCGGGTGCCACCACCACCAAAACCTCCAGAGCCACGGTTTCTTGTCATGCCACCTCTGTTTATGCTAGCAAGGAAAATAGAACTGTGATGTACTGGAAGGCCTTGTGGGTCATGATCACAAACCCACACCCCTCTCCAAGGGCCCTGGAACTTACCTCTGTGCAGGTCTCCGTTGTGTATCAATCTGTGATGTGACGAGCTGGATGTTCATAGGGCGACCTATGGGCAAAGAATACAGAGTCTCATCCCAGAGGTTCTGAGGCTGACCCGGAGGGCACCACACCCTGGTCTCCATGCAAGCTCTGGAGGAAAGGGCCTTTGTGTGTGTCTAATGCCCCCGACAAGGGAAATGGCCTGGAGAGCCTGGCGGGAGAAGTACAACGACAACCCCACCAACACCTCCTCACTCCTTCTCAGTCCAAGCTAGGAGGGGCTGTGTGGTCAAGTGTCCAGGGTGCTTATGGGTGGACAGGTGTGGGTGACCTGATGGAAGAAGAACAGGTACCTTTGTCTTTACGACTACAGCCCCGCACTCAGGTGTACTATGGCGGTTCTGAGAAGGCTCCACAGAAGTGAATCTTCCGGAAGGAGCTGAAGGAGGGGAGGGATGTAGCTTGCTGGATGGGGGTTCACAAGAGGTTGGTCCAGATGTGTGGGGCAGCATGAGAGGTGGCAGAATGGAAGAGAGAGACAAAGGGGCAAATGCAAAGTGTCCTCAGCCACAGGGGCAACCCATATTCCTACAGGGAGAGGTGCCAGCCCCAAACTCCACAAGCCCCACAGACATCCTGGGCCCAGCCTCCAACTCACCATCCAAAGGGACACCATTGTACTGTTTCATAGCTTTCAGGGCATCAGCTTTTCGTTCAAAGTGTACATCTGCTGTCCCTAAACTTCTCCCAGAACGGTCGTAGTGCACGGCTGCCTTCTTCAAGGTTCCAAATTCAGCAAAGAGTTCCTGGGAGGAGGACAGAGCAGCTATTAACAAGGAAGCTAAGCTCTTTTTCCTTTTAGCGGCCCGGGGCAGTCCCTGTGAGTGCTTTGGGGGCACTCCCCTGACTGCCATCTGGGAAGGGACAGGCAATGGCAGTAAGAACTGAGGAAGAGACTGATGGGGCATGAGGAACAGCAACTTCCAGGAGCACCTGGGTCAGAGGAACCAGATGCCTGTAGCATGATGCAGGTCAAGGAAGTCACAAAGCACCCCCTATGGTGCAGAAGAGCAAGACACTATCTTTCAGCAAAGGAAAGCATACAACTCGCCCAAGTACTGTTTCAGCAAACACCAAGGCCAGAGCAGACCAGCTCAAAGGGCCGCTAATTTGGGAGCAGTGACCCCGGCCCCTTCCCCAAAGGCAGATTCTGGCTCACCTTTCCCTCTCCTCCTACTCAAGCCTGCCGAAAAGTCTGAAGTCAAGCGCGCCATGGAAACTGCCCTGACCTCAGGCAGGCTGGGAGTTGGAGAGGGAACCCAGAGTGTGGGGGCTACTTCTGCCGCAGGTACACAGCAGGAAGTGGATGCCAGAAACCACCTTAAAAAAAAGTGTTGAGACACTGTGAGTGCTCACTGGCCTTTTTCTGGAAGGCCAAAGGGCTGGGCTCTGGGAAAAAGAACCCAGGGAGGCCCAGCACCCAGCCACCTCCAAGACTCATCCCAACCAGGAAACAACTCTAAATGCCTTTTGGGATCCAATCAAGAAAGAAAGGGAAAAGAGTAGGTTCCAACCAAAGACAGGTTTGAGGACCACACACACACCACGGACAAGGCCCAGAAAAGGCCACCAGTGAGACCCCAGGGCTCCAGACTGGGACGCACACAGCTACCCGTCCATCTCTGTGCTCCATCAGTCACAGAAGGGGAGAGTTGTGTTCTCTAGTTAAGTCACTAACACAGGCGCAAGAACCGAGAAGTAAACACTCTGAGTGTATCAGTGACACATAGGAAACCACTCGTGGGGCCCATGTCCGTGCCCGTTAGAAACTGAATGCCCTGGCAAAAGGGCATGCGCTCCAGGCAGTGTCCGTGCAGGTAGTCACCTCCCCGGGCAGCCCGCCTTACTGGTCGCGTTCAAACCCGAGGATGACAGTGGTTGGCCTGGCCCTGGGGGACCTGGCAGAGACTTCCGTGGGGGGCGAGACGGATCGCGGGGGTCCCCGTCGCCTACCTGAATATCGGCATCCGAGACTCCGAAGTCCAGGTTGGACACCAGCAGCTTGCCCCCGGTCTCCACGCCGGCTCCTCCACCGAAACCACTGTCGAAAAGGTCGTGCTGCCACTTGTCGGGAAGTTGCTTCGGCTGCGGGGAAACCGCAACCCGTGAGCCGCGCCCGGGGAGTCCGGGGGACCCCGCCACGAGGCTGGACGGGCGCCGGACAAAGCGTC